CATGTTGATTTTCAAGGAATCATTTATTTTATTTGGCAATTTCTAAAACAACTGTTGAAATCGCTGTTGTCTGATAAATTTTTGTGTTGTCCTCGGCATTTTTATTAATGTTTATGGAATTTAGACCCTTCATCTCTTTATGAGAACATTCTATGTGTATGTAATTGTCTCTTAATACATTGTGTCAAAATCCTTATTTCGCATGTACGTGTAGGCAAAAAACAACCAAATTGTCTCTTTCACTAGAAGTACAACGTAGGCGTAATCTTTATTCACAGAATGAGGACGTTTATATGAAGTGGCCCATTGGCCCCATCACTCACCTGTGTCATGTTACATGGTTTTACTATAGTATTCTTCCGAAAATGTTTTCATTTTTCCAACTCTAAATATGAGCCAAACGTTTATGACGAGAGTGTAGCTCTACTAGTGTGTACTTATAGTACAGAAAATGTATCTTTGTACACCTGATAGTCTACTTGTTATCTAGTCTTACTGAAATCAAGACAAAGCTCTAGGAAAAGAAGCATTTTTAAAGAATTTTGCAGAAAGAATTTTAATACTTATTATCGAAATTTAAAAAAACAAAAGATACATAGAATTAAGTATATATCTTAGTATCAAGTCACATTAACATTGTATCAGAAATGTTAGGAGAAGCTGCATTTAATTGGAAGCCTGTTTGCAGAACGAGGAGTAGCATTATGAAAGAATTCACAGAATAGCATTATGAAAGAATTCACAGAAACTTCTAATTTAATAAGCATGGTATTACTGATTTGCATGCGTAGAAATCAAAAACTTGTCTATAAACTATATATCCCAGTATACGAGTAGTTTATTTCGATCTATATCAAGTCAAGTATCAAATTCAACCAAAGCTGCATAAGGAGCAACATTTTCAACATTCGTTTAAAGAACAAACAGGCGGACGGACGTCAGACACCTATTTTCAAAAGATCTTCCGATTTCTGATAGAGCCAAGACTCAAATTCCCATATTGCTACCCCGTCTTAAAGTAGCCGCCAGTCGTCATGAAATCACTACAAACAAAATCGAATAGTAAAACTGATACTTTTTTATGCGCCTGGATCGATAGATCTGGGTGTATATTGTTTTTGTCCTGTCTGTTTCTGTTGTCAACTTTAACCTTCCCCATAACTTTTGAACCATGCAAGATAGAGTCTTTATATTTGGTATGCGTACTCCACTATTGAAGTTCTTTCAAATGACATCAAGGTTAATGACCTTGTGACCTTGACTGTGACCTATATGCTATAGCTTTTTAGAACTTTCGCCACAATTTTAACTTTTGAACCATGAAAGATAGAGACTTAATATTTGGTATGCGTACTCCACTATTGAAGTTCTTTCAAATGACATCAAGGTTAATGACCTTGTGACCTTGACTGTGACCTATATGCTATAGCTTTATAGCTGGCAGTTAATACAAAATTTACAATATGACACCGGTAAATTAAAAATTCACAACTTGACATCAGATCCAAACGATAAAAAAAAATTAAAATCAAAAGAAATACATTTATTTCCTATCTAGCTTGTAACACGAGCTTTGATTGGATACAAAGTCGGGTGTAAATATCCGTGCACCCGACTTGAGCCGGGTGTAAATAAAACGTGACGTCACAATGCATACATTCTCTATGATAATTTATCTATTCGATAGATTGAGACACATTCTGATGTTTACAAAGCATTTTTATGGGTACAAAGGAAATAAATTCGTTATCCAGGTTCAATGTCAAGTTGTAAATTTTGAATTTTCCGGGTGGCAGTTAAATAAACCCTTCGGCCTTCGGCCTCAGGGTGTATCAAAAAAACCCGGGACTAAATCCCCGATAAAAAAAAATTTAAAATCAATAACTAATAGTATTTTTTTTAGAAGTAGGTATTCATTCAATGTATGATATATGTTATATTTACAGTACTTTCTTTCGTTTGTAAGGAATTTATTGTACAGAGAGGCGTGGCAGTCGAGTCGCGCAGCGACGAGACAGCCACGCCTCTCTGTATAATAAATTCCTTACAAACGAAAGAAAGTGTCTGTAAATGTCTTGTGTCATGGTCATTTGCATAGTCACTCCCTCGACATCAAACTGCACGCGACATTACGTCACAGGCCTAGGTCCATCGTATCTACGGTTCAAACAAATCAGAAAGTACAAAGGAGATGGTTGCATTGGAAATTCAAGCGATGTTAAACGAGTGTGCAATTGTATTTTTGATGGATTATAATTTAAACAGAATGAATATTTCAAAAAACCATAAGGTACTGGAAACCTGGATCCGTCCGCAAAATGATCCGCTTCATTACTGTTACTTCGGAAATTATTGCATGTCCGGAGGAAATCCGAATGGAGTACCGTAGCCACAGGTGTCAAAATTATGGCATGCATTGTGAAAAAGTCCGAATGCATACTTGTATATTATACGAACATGTATCAGTGTGCATGTAACTCAAGGAACCCAGGAAACAGGTACTTTTAAGAAAATCATCGAACTGCGCGTGTTTTCAATATTGTTAGATTTAAATTATCTGTTTTCATCTGAATATACATGTTTTTCGTGAAATTCTGTGTATTGATTTTATTTTTTGTTTAAATCAGTTAACTAATGAGTTTACATGTATTCCTCTTGAAAATGGTTTTCACGTAATTCAGGGATGTGGCCGATTACATTAAAAAGTAAATAATTAATCAAATTACAATTACTTTGACTTTCTCTTCAATTAAATTACAGGCTTTATAAAACATGTGATTAATTGATTTATAATTACTTTACAAAAAATGTAATTAATTAATTACAGTCAAGTACAATTACTTTTTTGTTCAATTACCCCATCCTTGTCACGTATGCATTTACAGAGTGAAGGGGGGGGGGTAGATTCTTTGAGATTTCTCATGTTTCTTCTAGATATGTTGTATAAGCTTACAGAAATTGGAGAAAAATATTTAAAAACCATTGAATTCTTTCGGAAGTTATTGTACGGTAAATTGGAAGTTATTGTATTGCTAAGCTCCGCCCCCTAGAAGTTATAGTACGTTGGAATTCAGCCAAAGGTTTTCTATCTGATTTAAAGTATGGCCAACATCAGAAGAAAAAGTACCGCACCATGACACAATTTAATTTTAAAACAGAAAGAAGAAATATTATGCACAGAAGTTATAACAAATCACATCGTCGGAAACCCACGGGTGATCTCGTTTGTAAGTAAAGACGAGATCACCCGTGGGTTTCCGACGATGAACATATCAACCAGGAACTAAATTTTTACTTTTTAGAAAAAAAGATGCTTGAATATTTCTTCAGTCAGAAATGACCTAAGTTAGCACAACTTTTTTTCACAATTGTTCCTGTTCATAGTTTTGTTCTATATGTAGCTAGTCTCATAATTTCATAAGTATTCTTATATAATTTCTACTTCTAGGAAGATTTCGAAAAACGTGTTTGTTTAAGGTTATACAATTAAAGAGGAATATCCGCATACTAGTGTCAAGGATAGCATGGACTTGCAGGAATATGAATTATTTTATGATGTTATAATGGAAAATAATTATTTAATCTATGATTAATGATTACCTAATAAACATTTCTCTTGATGATACTGGAACAGCAATTCCTTAAAATATATTTTAGATTAGACCGGTGTTACGTAAGGATGTTTATATGTGGATTAATTATTTTCTGAAACTTGCATTTCTTTGGGAAAAAAAGAAAAAGAGCGTGCTAATGCTACCAAAATGCAAAACAGTTTATTTACGTAACATGCAATATTGCATTTTTTTTGCTATTATTCATAAATGATATTTTTCTTATTTTTTGAATGGGCTTGTTATTCAAAGAAAAATTTTGTAGGGGGGGGGGGTTACTCACGTTACAGTTTTTCCAAGCCCATTTTTTTTTCATAACTAGGATCTTTTCTTGCCCGTGGGGAGACAGGACAAGGTCGTCTCTGCTTTCTTCTCATCCCTGATTTGGTGTGCTACAATGATATTTATTCTTCCAACAAATTTGACCTCTTGGCCATGGCCTTAGAGTTTGACTCATTTATGCAAAAAATTCCAATATTTAAACCTTGGCCGTAATTTTTGAACAGTTGGCGCTAGGGGTTATCAGTGTTTTCACTGTGATAAGATCTTTCAATGGGTAGAAATATTTTGACCTTTCGACCTTGACCTCAGAGTCTGACCCACTTTAAAAAAAAACTTAACCCTTGGAAGAAGTCTTCCCTTGGGTACCATTCATTGTCACCCTTTGACCTTGGAGTTTGATCGACTTTATAGTAAAACTTGAATCCATGTCATAACCCTTTTTAAAAACAGTTTAGAGACGGTTTGGTGATGTGTCAAAATATTACTCCCCCTTTTTGGTATAACCTCATTAATTAATCATTTAAAAAAAATAATAATAAAAAAAGAAGAAACCTCCAAAATCTTTTCGTGATGGAAACATAAAGTATGCGCATAAAAAAAAGATATTTTTAGTATGTACACAAATACTTTATATTAACGCACTAACTTCCACAGTTCGTGCAAAATATCAGCTTTTTAAGGAGATGCTATAACCCCCCCCCCCTTCGAAGATCTTGTTTCTGGGTTGCTAAAATTAAAATCGTTGAAGCATATAAATTTCACCTTCCATTTTAACACAAGCTTGGCATTCAGTGTAAGGGTGATGTTTGATTGTATTTTTCCCCTGAAGTACTTCTATTAATTTCTGTATAAAGTATACGTACTACAGTTCCCGTGTAGAAGTTTGGATTTATAATCTTTATAATTTAGAGTTTCATATTTTTTCATGTGTGATATTTTCATCTATATCATGATATTTCTTTTTGGTCTCATTTTCCCAAAAACATGTTCCATATAGCATTTAAGGAGGTATTTTTTCCTACGAAATAAAACATTTTTGCACAGGGTGTGTCTTGTCACATGAACGGTTTGACTATTATACATGAAACCGGAAGACGATATGAAAAAGTCAAGAGTTCACGCGCATTTACCTGAACAACAGAGAGAACAGAGCAGTGTGTGTGGTGTGGAAGATTATATATTGACAGTATGAATCAACAGTGATATAAGCACGATTTTATAAACATTAATAATCATTTTAAGTTGAGACGATGAAGAGATTAGGCGTTCTAGTAACTGTAACATTGATATGTGTAGTTTTTGTAAATGGACAAAATTCTACAAATCAACAACCAGTGACTAGTGGAACATCTACACTGGGAGACGAGTCTCCTTTGGAAAAAGGAGCAAAACCTTTATATGATTTAGTGCATGGATTTTTAGACAGTGTTCAGAAAGATAATTTCATAGTAAACAATAGTGATTCAAAAATTAGTAAGTATTTTATATTTAAACCCATGTGAAGGTTTAAAAAATTTAAATGAGCCAAACAAAAGGAGGATTTGTAAGTGTATTTCTCTTCAAAAATAATCTTAGGTGTAATCTGATATTGCAGTTCAAATATCCTACCCTTTTATTTAGCAAAGGATGGGGGTTGCTGGGGTGAAGAAAGCATAGAATTTTGTTGGTATTTATGTGCCGTATTTAAGTCATTAAAACATGATGTCAGTAACAAAATACATGTATCTCTAGGTAAAACTCTACCTTAATTTTTCCAAAACATTTTAAATGTGAAAACCAGTTTGTAACATAAGGCCAACATGCCTCAATTATTGATTGAGATTGAAAAGAATTTTAGAAGAGAAAGGCCAATGAACCTTGTAAATTGTACACACGCAGAGGGAAAAAGTCATCAGTACATCATTTTTTGTATGTGAAATATCCAAATTTACATCTCACTTATCAAGGCAAGCTCATCATCAGTTATCCCAAACACATTTTGCTGCTAGTAAATAGTATCTCTACAGACTGTAGGAACTTTTCTGTGTATCTTTCAAATATGAGAATACTTGGGACTGGTTTCAGAATGATTCAGGAAATGTGCTATTTGGCTTAAAGAGACATACAGAGACATCACATTGTATGTTTTGCTGAATTCAACCAATAGTAAAGATTTGAACATTAAATACACGACATTGTTTTTATATAAAAGGATATTTTTTCCACGAAACAGCCTTCGTGTTCATTGTTCTTCACTAAATCGAAGCACGCAGACACGAAAATGTTAGCATAAATATTGAACAAGAACTGAGTGACATCTCTTACACAATTTTATCTGAAATAGTTTTTTCTTTGTGTCTCTCTGTCTATGCCTGAACTTCGTGAATAGGATGAAAGGGAAATACATTGTACAAGGTTGTCAGATTGTTGGTTTTGACAATAATACATTTTTCTATTTTAAATTTAATTGATTAGAGTGGTTGATAATTGCTCTTTGAACCAGGAAGTAGTCTTATCAGGGAAACATGTTTCTGAGTTTCAACTTCAGTAATTCTAAAAGGCAGTCGGTCAAGCGTTTTTGAGGCCAGTGTATAAGGGATAAAATGTAGCATTCCATGGATACAATTTTATTGTCCAAGTGCATTCTTCTGTGAATTTATTAGAGTAACTGAAACCTGAAGCCTGTGTTAATTTTTTTTAAAAAGGGTCCCCTTCCTTATTGTATTCATTTAATAAATATTATGATTCAGAATTAGTTGAGTCAAGTTTCTCTATGACAGAAATAGCAAAAAAAAAAAAATTGGTCATTGTTGTCAAATACATGTAGTGTAGTTTGGGTGTTTCATTTGAAATTTGTTTTGAAATATTCATCATCACATGTCTATTGTAGGTCATTGTAGTACCCAGTAGACCTTGAAAACTTTAAATATATATATTTAACAGTAACACCTTTGAGTACTGCCAGGTGAAATATGAATGAAAGTACAAATTATACCTTGGTAATTTGTTTTCTCTTATGGTATGTTCAACAATGGGACATAAAATAAGATAAGATAGTGCTCCATGTTGACTGTTCAAATCAATATTTATATCAGCCCTCACATGTATTATCTGTGATATTCACAGCATGTAGATTTCCTGGCCGCTAAATAGGAAGAGACATTTATGTGTCTACACATCACACACCTGAACGCCTTTTGTCTCGGACTGGTCTAAGGTGACCAGCTTTTATGACCCGGTTATTATGTCCCCATTTTCTCGTCTAATAATATTGTTCTCTTTAATGTTTATGCCTATTTAATTGACAAACCTTTCATGTTTATATATAGTATCAATCCATGATGTAGGTATTATATGCATTTAAGTATTTTGTCTATAACATTGATGAATTTGGTCCATGTTTGTGTGCTTGTACAGTGTATATTGATTTACGGATCAAAATACGTGTACTTTACTACTTATGCATCGTGGAAAAGAGCTTAATGATTCATGTATTAATTGATGAATAATTGAGATTTTGACAGTTTTAGAGAGTGCACTTCATTAGTTTCTGGACGTTTGTCCCTAAGGCTAAAAATACTGTGAAACTGAATTTACATGAGGTCATCAGTTGATTTTATGGGACATCTTATTTCACATATGTTAAACTGTTTGACTAACACTTTAAAGGATCAGTGATGCAAACACACACACACACCCTTGAAATCTAAAGTTAGACATATAACAAAGAAATTCATGATTTAAAAAAAAGAAATTGAAACTTCATTTTTTTTACATATATGACAGTTTTAAAATAATAATTATTTTGGTATAATTTGTGCTTGATCTCCCCAAAAAAGTGTCTTGATTGTTTTTTCGCTAATATATATTTCTTTGGAAAAAAAAACCTTTCTATTTTCTGTACGGTTTAAGAATGCATGAATGTGTAAATGATGGAAGATATTAATCTAATACATTTTACCTGATGTATATTACGATCATTTATAAATCTCTCTTAGTGGTACATGCAAGGAGACCACTTTAAATATGAACTAGTACAAAATTTCAATATAAATTTTAGTTTTACCTACATACCTAGTATGTGAAAAAAAAAACAATGATCATAATTGATGCATAATAATGATATTTTTCATAGTCAAAAAATTTTCATTAACATCAGAGAGAAGTTGCCACATGCAGTTCCATTAAAAATGTTTTTTGATATGAATTCCATATTTTTGTTGAAAGATAGAGAAATAAAATGTTTGATTGCTTGTATCATTAGGAAGCGCACTTCTTATAAAACTTTATTTCTCCTTCACAATTTATGTCCAATCACTTATAAACTTAAGGATTGAAGTGAAATCAACAAGAAGACACGCACGTTTAATGACTTCATCTTTAGTGTTTTACGCCAATCTTACAAGAAGTTGAAGTGATTTGTAATTTGTAAGCACTTAGTGTCTTTTATTTAACCTTTCATTGTTTTTATCGAAGTGTGCACATTGTGGTTTAAGTATTACGGAAGCTGTTTGTGGGAAATGATTACGCTATTTGGTTAAAGCAAAGTACATATGTTTTTCTCCTTTGTTTTCTTTATACACGGGTTAAGAGAGATTTTCTTTTTCCATTACAAAGAAACCGTATCCAGGTACAAGGTGTCTGTTTGAAAAGAATGCCTGAGTTTCACATTTTCTTTGTGTTACAGATAGAAAATGAGATAGCTCTGACAAAAATCAGACACCAATTTTGTCATGGCCTGGGGATATTTACGTACTGTAGTGTATGAAAGTATCCATTTGAAACGGATTAAGAGATATAACTTTAATTACGTCATGACTCCTCTTTTTATAATGTTGAAACTTACGAAATCAAGTTAAAAACATTGAAATTTTTAAGACCTTTATTGAAATTTTACATACGAAAATTTTACAAATTATTTTCATTGTTTATGTGAAAAACTTGATCTCTTCCAAAATCAAAATGGAAAAATCGATTGATCTGAAAAGAATTTTAATACATGAATAATTTTTTTTTTTTTTTGAGAAGTATGTGTACATGTAATCATAATGTATTACAGAATTACTTCTGACTAAGTTTCAAACTCCAATAACTTAACTGGTATATCGATGTTCATATGAAGTGTTGTGGTTGGGATTGACTTTTCTTTCTGTGACATTTTTTGACCCGTTATCTTACAAAATAACAAGATATTACAAATTGTACCAAAAGGAAATACTATATACAATGTATGAGTAATTTATGATGTCAAACACAAACAATTCTTATGTGGACAGAGTCATTCTGTGTGTACAATGTACGTGTGAAGAGCTTAGTATCCTATTTCCTTATGTAAAAAATACAATGTAGTTTATTATACTTTATATGAGTCAAAAATAGGGCAGCATAAATATATTTTTTGGATCAAGAAACTTGATACAGATGTACTCTGTATGAAAGAACTTTTACACAGAATTTTGTGATTGATATAAGCTGATGGCTAATCTTTGTCTACAAAGCTTTTTTATCAGTTCATTTTTGTACAAAACATAAACATTGGAAGAGATTACTTTCTAAAAAGTTCTTTCTAAGAGAGAGAGAGTTCATCTTCTCTCAAGAAAATGCTCTAGTGGGAACTTATATAATTTCAGTGTAGAATATTTAGTGTATGAATTTATGGCAAATGTCGCAAGGATAAACTAAGTACATATACTAGTATTAGAATGCACCAGAGTGCATTAAGATGACAAGAGTATCTTGAAACTTGTACAGTACTGCTGGTGCATAATATTGCACATTACATTAATGAGGAGGTGCTTATAAACTACTTAGTGAAGATGAATTTATCGTGGTATGTCTAATGATATCAACCAAAGTCTCAGTTTATCTAGCCATTTTTACACTTCCTTCTCTAGTTCCGCTGGAAGAGGAAATTTTTAAGTCCATTAAATTTTTAAGTCCATTAAATTCTGATTACCCCAGCAGTCATACATAATCCAAATGTGATAATTTATTTTATCAATACCAAAATTATACCCTTTTTTTATGTAATAACTTATTAACACGTAATATTGGAGGATGTAAGACTGCAGTTCCCATGAAATGAATTTTATTACCGGTAGTGTTTCAAAAAGAAAACTCGTGGGAAATTTGAAATAAATGTAATTGTTTTATTGCGTGATGTTGAATGTAAAAGGCAACATATTATAAATGAACCTGTTTTGATGAACTTGACTAGACATTAAAGAAGTATATAGCATATATTTTTATAGTTTCCCAAAAGAGAGGGAGAGAGAGATTTAGAGATCTACATGTAATTCAGTTAGCTGTTGGTGAATTCTCTGTGGAGTTGGTATAGTGTTTCTGTAAATTGGTATGGAGACTGGGTTATCAGCTGACTTGATAAGGGCTCCTATTCCAGTTGGCTATTTCAGTTGGAAAATATAGCAAAGATAAGACAATATGTATTGATTACCTATAGTAACAACCTACCTGGCATTACACCTGTGTATTGCTTTAGCCTTTTGCTACGTATCGATCGCCATCTTCTGTACAGATATATTGTGCGCTTTGTTTTTGCAATTAGGAGATTTCTGTTCCTAATTAGCTGTTCTTAATGTTATGAATCTTTCTTCAGTCTCCCATATCTTTGAAATAACCAGATTCATTAGGTTTAAAAATTCATAACTTGTTTACCAGGGGGAAAATGATAAAGTCAGGGTTTATTTATCGCTGCTTTCAGACTTGTTTCTCTGTATATGATTTTATAATTACACCAAAGATTTTTACTCTAATGCTAATTCAATATAAAAGATGAGATGTACGTAATACTTCAATAATGAGTGCCTTTTTTTTCTTTATTTTCTCCATTTTGAAAATGGGAAGCCTCATACTTAAAGTGCATCTTCTAGTGCATTTTGAATAAAATAAGTTTTATTTGTTTGACTTAGCAAGGTGTTTCCGAGTTGTCAACAGATAGCATGGAGAGATATGAGCTTCTTGTCTGCAAATATACTTGTTTTGATCCTAAGCTTTGCTTAAAAAAAAAAGCATTTATCTTAACAAATTTGTAGCCTGGTTTCCTAAATATTTTTTCAACAAACTGATATGATTTACTTGATACTGAACATTAACCGTACTTGTTTCACAAAATTTGAAAATGCGAGACATCTATGACTTGAGTATATTTCCAAAATATATTTAATATGTAGAGGTGACATGTATGTACTTAGATTCAAGGAAGATAAAACTTCAAATGCACACTAGAATTCATACCAAAGTACAGACCGACAGTTAATAGTATATATACTATACATTGTAAATCAAAAAGCCGAGGATATATTAGCAGATTATAGTATTCTTCACATCTTTCTTCCTTGCATTAAGTGGTATTGCAAACGCAGATAACCATAAGCAGTAAATGTGACAAATGGCTAAGATATATGAGCCACTCTGAAGACTTCACTTACTTTACAGAATTATTGTTTAACCATGTTATCTTGATCTTGTGTAGATAAGCATTATCTTCCTGGTTCACTGTACTGCACTGGACTGGTTTATATACAAGATTCTAGGAACTCTGCATTATGCTCTTTGCATGTTATAATTATATCTGTTAGTTGATCTGTCACAGATAGGGGTCAGTAACCTTGTACATGTAATGTCTATATGATTGAAAAAGATGGAAAAAATTTCATACTTGTGACTTTTTTTTTAATGAGACCAAAAAAAAAGCATTTATTTAAATAAAGATGGTGGACCTTGTCATATTTCTATTCTTTCAATACAAATATACAGACAATTGTGAATGAGAAACATTTGTCGATATACTTTTTCAATCAAGATTCAAGCAAAAGGCTCAGTATATTTATTTTGAGTTGATGAATCTAAGGTCCAGTAATCAACTTTCATGGTCTTATATACAAATTGGTCATAGTCTTACAAATTTCTGACATGCTGTATATCTGAATCTGCAATTGTACATGTATATGCGTAGTTTTTACAGTAATGGTTATATATTCATTAATTAATGATAAAGATATGTCATAAAAGCTATCTCTAACAATTTCTCTTTTTTTCCAGATTATAATGAAATCCAGACTTTTATAACAAATGGTACCCTCTCAAAGTTAGCTGACCGATGGCAGGATGTAAGTACATGTAATATTACTGATGAAAAATTTATTTACTATTAAATTAAGGAGGAGAACTTAGGTTTAGTTTAGGGATTTACCATTACGATAAAACTCCACTATAATGAAGTCACTTGGACCCATGAAATTACTTTGCTATATCTGTATTTCATTATATCCATAAAGGAATTCATGAAATTTATGTATCTAGGTTGTTTATGGTGTATTTTGTTGCCATGACAATGGAAATAATATTTTTCTAATCATTTTTTGAAACTACTCAATACCCGCTTTCTGAACATATTTAGGTACATTCATTGGTATATTCAAAGATTTCAGAAATATTCTAAAAATGCATTGAAATCTTGATATCAATTTCTCTAGAAATGCTTAAAATCTTTGCCATGAAAGGGGTTAAAGAATGATAATCTAGATTTTTATTTTCTATTTTCCAGATGGTGTCAGTATTTGGTGGCTATGCAGCCTGTGTTGTGTTTGGGTTGCTGTTTGCCATCTTTATGCCCGTCATCGGTCTCTTCTTTTGTTGCTGCTATTGTTGCTGCAAAAGATGCGGGAAGGCACGAGAAAAATCAGATCCAAAATCAGCTGGTTGCAAACGTGCAACATTTTGTCTCTTTTTAGCAATTTTTGCAACAATGATGCTGTAAGTCTTTTCATACCCCACACAACAAGTTGTCACTTGTGTGAGTCAGTCAGTGTGTCAGTCAGATTGAGTCCTGTTTTTTTGTCAGCGCAACTCCTCATAAACCGCAGCACAGAATTTCGTCAAACTTTGCAGATATTTAGGACACAATGTGTAAATATACATATTACTAGGAAATTCCGATTCCTTTATTGTTCTGGGAATTTCCGCACTTTTCAACTCAGATTTTTGGCCATAACTTGAATATACAGATAAACAGTTTGTCAGTGCAACTCCTCATAAATCACTGCACAAAATTTCGTCAAACTTTGCAGATACATGTATTTAGGATACAATGTGTAGATGTGCATATTACTAGGAAATTTCGATTCCTTTATTTTTTCCAAAAATTTTTTTCAACTTACCGGGTAGATTTATGACCATATCTTGAACAGGTCGAGACCACTACCTTATATGGAAGGCAATTTTCAACACGTGACGATGTCTTCGTCACACCCGTTCTCCAATCCAGTGAATGAGTCCCAAAGCATGACAGTCTACTACGTGTTTACGATTCAATGGCGACACGTGGTTTTCATCGTTTTACTGCACAATATTTAATTCGTCACTGCAAAAACTGTAGAGCTTCTTTATCACTTTATAAGACTGAAATTGAAAGACTATATTCTAAAGACATTGCTCCATGCTCACATTTAATATTGGAGTTGTTTTAAATGATTAATAGTTGCTTCGAATACCGTACAAACGCTTTGACGTTTGCATGTACATAAAACACTTTCTGATAATATTGAGGGGTTAAATAATAATTGGACACCTTCTCCTGCCATCTAAAACCCAGGACCTATATACTACCTGCTAAAACTATGTACACGTATATCACGTGAAAAAAACTCAGTGTTTTATCAACACGATAGCACCTACGTCTCTTTGAACAATGGTTTAGACCGATGTATTATAAGTTGATATAAGGTTTCATAAAGCAAATTTTGTAAATGTGAGCATAGAAATGAAAGATTATACATCATTTTAAATATTTCTTTCACAAATCTCAAAAAAGAATAGAAAAAATAAAATTCCAAGGGACAATTCAAGTTGCCCTTTATTTTCAACACAGCTGGGTACAGTGGACCTTCAGATATCCGGACGCCAGATATCCGGATGCTTCAGTATCTGGACGATTTTTCTTCGGAACGAAATTTTTAAATGTTATTCTGTCTTGTTTAACTGGTGATTCAGATATCCGGATGCTTCATATATCCGGACAAATTGACTGGGAACCAAAGCGTCCGGATAAATGAGGGTCCACTGTACTTGTAGTAGCCCACAATGCATCGCGGCTCATTCAGCAGTAGGTAAAGTAAACAGATAGCTAATTTACATGCAAATATATGCTTAAGTCAGAAAATCTAGTGGTCTCGACCTGTTGCATATAGAGGTGAACAGTTTGTCAGTGCGACTCCTCATAAACTACTGCACAGAATTTGCTCAAACTTTTTAGATATTTAGGACACTATGTGTAGATATGCATATTACCAGGAAATTCCGATTCCTTTATTTTTTCTGAGAATTTCAGCACTTCGAGTTTTTGGGGAGCATGGGGATGTTTCTTAGGGGGAAAAGCATCAAAATATATTTTTTTGATTGTCATTGTAGTTAGTGTTTTTAGCTCACCTGAGCTGAAAGCTCAAGTGAGCTTTTCTGATCACCCGTTGTCCGTCCGTCCATCTGTCTGTCTAGCTGTCCATCCGTCCGTCTGTAAACTTTTCACATTTTCAACTTCTTCTCAAGAACCACTGGCCAATTTTAACCAAACTTCGTTCAAAGCCTACTTGGGTGAAGGGGAATTTAAATTGTTAAAATGAAGGGCCAAATCCCCTCACAAGGGGAGATAATCAAGAAAAGACAAAAATAGGGTGGGGTCATTAAAAAATCTTCTTCTGAAGAACCACTAGGCCAGAAAAGCTGAATCTTATGTGGAATCATCCTGGGGTAGTGTAGATTCTAAAATGTTCAAATCATGACCCCCAGGGGTAGGGCGGGGCCACAATAGGGAATCCTATATGAAGTTTTTCATAGAAATATATAGGAAAAAACTTTAAAAATCTTCTTCTTAAGAACCACTGGGCCAGAAAAGCTGAAACTTGTGTGGAAGCATCCTGGGATAGTGTAGATTCTAAATTATTCAAATCATGGCCCCTGGGGGTAGGGCATTGTCACAATTTGTATTATAAAGGGTGGAAATTTGTTAAAAAACAGCATGACAAAAGTTTGTCAGGTGAGCGATGTGGTCCATTGGCCTCTTGTTTTTAAAATGGGTTATTTATTATCATTTCAATATTCTTAAACAGGACTGGTGCTATTGTGGCCATTATTTCAAATGAAGTCCTTCATACCAAGTTACAGAACTCAGACCAGCGAGGTCCTGTACAATATATGAAATCAGGATTATCTGAATTAGCAGATTATGCAGCACAGACCACAAAGGTAAAGTTATTTAGTTCACTATCTTTGGATCATCTTTAAATAAGGATTATCTGAATTAGCACTTTATGCAACAATATATGAAATATAAATAAAATCAGAAGGTACTTTATTTAACTTTAAAAAAGAAATAGCAAATGTTTAACTTTGATTATGATTTTTGTGCTGGTCAAAATTCATAAGCTATGCTCTACCCTTTTATTTGCTTCTCTAGGACTTGAACAGTAAAACAACAACTCAAGTTACAAGCACTGTGAACCGGATTGTGTCATCAATTAAAGGTGAAATGTGATAAACTATATTACAGTAAAACATGCTTATAAGATACTAGATAGAATGTTCTATCGTTAAAATGATATTGTCCTACGGACCCGGTTTAACGATAGAATTCGTTCCGTGTATTCGTAGTGTAGCAGAAAGAAACACGGGCGATAACTCGCATAGTGCATTTACTTGGAACAATCTAGAGAGTTCCGAATGTAAACGTGGCCGGTAATTTGAATCGCGAGAAAAACGTTGAGAAAATTAATTGGATTTTCGTATTTATATGGATTATTTTTTGGGATAAAAGGCATAAGCAATCTCAAGAAGGTTTGTTTTGGTTATTTTGGTAGTTATTCCCAGTGCAAATCATTTTATATTCTTCAAAATCGTTTCGGAGCGGATCCGCTCCGATTTGCTACATTACAAGTATATGGGACGTATTCTAACTGTGGTGAGGGCCTGTGTGAGGGCCTGTACCGAGACACAGTTAGATTATTCTAACTAATAAGATACTGCCAGGGATGTACAATTTTGCTTTGTAACAGACATAATTCAATTCATTTATATTGTTTGAATATACGTGTACACACAATATTTCAATGCCATGTGGAATGAAAATCACATTGCTGTATGCATCAATTTCTTATAAGTCAAGTGTATTCCCTATAATCATGTTTTACTGTAATTTGTTGGCAAGATCATGGTAAAAATTTTATTCTTTGCTTACAATACGTGTAAATCTTAAACTATCAGCTACCTAACATGGAGGAAAGAAAAATATCTAATTAAATTTTCCTTTTATGTTAAATTTTCTTTTGATAATTGATTCAGCTGTTTTATCTTTGTATTTAATCTTGATTATTAATTAACACATTTTAGAGTCAGCAAACACTACAGTTGAGGAAGTTTTAAAGTTGATCAACGCAGACTCCCTGTTAAACCAAACAGAAGGCCTAGGAAAAGGTGAGTTTTGTTTGCTGGTTATATTTTAATTTCCAAGAAACATTTAGTTTAATTCTTGTGCTCGAAGCTAAATATTCCTTTGACTTTGATGGACTGCAATTAATTACTTAAATGTTGAATAATATTATTGACTAAACATCTTCGCAAAAAGAAAATATTCAAAACATAAAGTTTACATATGATTGCATTACCAATAGGCATACTTAAAAAATGGGTACAATATCTTTGGTCTAAAACAAGAAAAAAATGCAGAATAAAATCTGTGTGTACAGAGAAAATACTAATTTGGAAAAAAAAACATTATTTGTATTTTCACTCTAGTAAAGGTTAATAAAATATCTTTTGTAGATGCAACCAATGTATTTAATGCCTTAGTTGATGTAAACAGAACATTAGCAGACCTTAGGGAGTATAAAACGAATGTTCTTGATCAAAAAGTCAAGGATATCAATGATAACATTACTAGAACATGTTCAAATAATAGTGTTACTTCTTCTAATTGTCCAACGCTGGAGGGAGTGAACCAGAATTTTACTGCGGTAATTTAATAGTTTATTTTCTTACATATGTATACTGTATACAGGGTATTTTTTGTCCTGTGTTATTTTCGCCTTTTCACACTTGCAAACAATTTTGCTTCGTTTTGAATTCGCCCAGTCATAGTTTTGTTTAAGAAATTATTCCATATTCCTTGAATTCGCCCCATTTTAAATTCGATCAAATTAGGATAGGGCGAAAGGGGGCGCAAATAAAACGGGGGGGGGGGGGGGAATTTCCCTGTATACAGTAGCACAACATCCAATACTGTCATTTCAGTGGCATTCTTGACATGGTCATTTGTGCCCTAAATTCCAGCTGATAAGGAAATTACTTTGATCTTTATACAGATATGCATTTATCACAAAAAAGAAAAGAAATCACATTATAAATATTTTTTTTACTTTTCTCTATTCATAAAAAGCAAAAAAAAAAAAATGTGTTTATTTTTTAATTTTTGAAAATGTAATATGATACTATCCCCCTTTTTATTGTTGATTTCCTTGATGTATCCTTCTTCACATATAAGTGATACATGCTTATATAGTTATAATGTATGTAGCTAAAATGAGTAATAGATATTTTATTGTTCTTAACACAAATATTTTTGGTCAAATTGAAGTATGGTACATGTAATTGTATTACCCAGTACTTATATTCAGACTCTTTGGATTAATAGTTGAACTTCTGTAAAATTGTCATGAATGCCATGTACAATTGACTTGAAATCTTTAAATCCTGTTTTGTGAAAAAATTGTTTAATGTAAGAAAATGATGTTTTTACAGTTGACAGATCTGGACAAAGAATTAAAAAAAGTGAATGAGTCTCTAAACATAACATCCTTAACCAGTCAGGTAATTTCATATAAACTGTATTACATTGTCCATATTGTTACATGTATTTATTGAATAAGTTTTCTTAAAGAGTTATTGGCAGTGATATTTTGTACAGTATTTACATGTCGGTCATTATGGGACAATTCCAATGTTTTCCTCTTCTTTTCAAATATTTGTAATCTTTCATTTACTGGTAATTATGTGTAGCACTCAGTATTAATGTGATATACATTTACAGTGTATATGATTTCCTCTTTTATTTCTGTTCACATGTAGGCAAGAAACGAGTTCAACAATGTTGTCCAAGGAGTCAAAAGTTCAATCAATGACTCAATAGCAGGTATTTATTTTAAAAATTGTAAAATGTTGTTAATGCGTAAAGTTCATAAAGATAAACATCTAGGTTAGCCCAATAAGCATTATTTTTCAAATGATGCAATCCCATGCAAATGACTAGATAGTACTAGATAGCCAGTTGCTAGACTCTACAGGTACATGCAACCTAGTTTGCATAGAAAAGGTAATTCTTTCTAGGATAAAAATAAAAGCATTGGTAATAGAGCATTGTTTCCAACTTGGAGGTACATTTGTAAATTTATTACTTTTAGAAAAGAATTAATATTGTGTTTTTAGAGGCTTCGAATAAAGCAGAGAGTATAAAAACTACATTAGAAAAAGAGATTTCCAAATTAACTGGAACAACTGAAAATTTTGTAAGTATAAATTATTCTTTATTTGCTAAAAAAAATTTTTAATTGAGGAAAAATGATTGAATGCATGTGCATGGTTGTATATTATACATTTGTACATTAAAAAAAAACAACAAATTTTCATTAAGGCTGATGACTTACGGAACACAACTTTCAAAGAAATTGACAAAGTAGATGGATATCTAAAGGATTATGCTGATTATGTGTAAGTATCAACTGAAGAAATTCAGGTTAGAAAAAATATTTTTTAATGGTCTGTTGTATGGTAAGTCTGCTTTGAAAGTTTTTTTTGTACAGAGTAATTTTATGCTTTAGATTGCATGGAGAAATTGGTCTGTCCCTTGTCATTTTTTTGAACATAAGTTCTTAACTATGTATCTCTTTAGATGGTATGATAACTATAATTATTTTAGCATCCATATCTTACTATTTCTTTAGATGGTATGGAGGTATTGGTCTGCCCTGTGTCATCGTTTTGACGTCAGTGCTGTACTACCTGGGAATCATGTTTGGTTTGTGTGGACAGAGACCTGGACATGGTGCTCCCTGCTGTAACAGAGGAACCGGCTCTAACTTCTTAGTCAGGTTTGTGTTTGACTGAGCTGTAGTGTTTGTGCTATCATAAAGTCCCTCATATACATACAAGGGGTTATCAAAAAGTTTGTGGACTAGCCCCATAAAATTAAAACCGCTTTAGGCACATCAATGAATTTTAAAATATCCAGTTTGCATCATCTTTTCTATCTAAAGAATAAACCATAAATCATAAATTTTATTTTTTAAGAAATTAGTAATGTTTTTGTAAGCAGTGGTATGTCCAGGTGGCGCAACTTTTGCGACTTATGTGTAACTGAGAAAAACTCTTTTGATATGAACATTTGACATCCAAAAATCCCGTTAATTCAGGTATGAATCGGTACACAATTGTTCCATAAAATATAAAATTTTCACTTCATTCTGGAAGTTCTATGAAATTTATGGTAAATTCAACATGGAATGTCCAAACAAATGAGGCCTTGAAAATGACATCAAAAGGGGGAAGGGGCTTCCTTTTCTAACATTCTATAAAGTTTTGCCCCCTGAAAAACGGGTATAGACCTAAGAAATGTTTAAACTGCTACAGAGAAATAACATGCATCCAGAGTAGTTGTCTTTTAATGTCAAAATAGATTCAGAGAGAAAGGGATGCACAGTTAATGTTGATATGTAGTCAAGGTGTGAAAAATCAATAACGTCAAAAAATGACATTGATCATGTGTTGTAGATATTGAACTCCCCAAAGCAAAATATGCTGGCACAATCAAGCGAGGATCTCTCCCAATGTATAAATCCATTCAGAATATTATATTCATTGAAAGCCGCTGTTCATGTCAGACAAAGTAAAGTCATATAAGCAAGGCGGGTGTAAGTCCTTACTCAGCTCCAGGGAATCTCATCAAAATAAGTGTATGGGGTAGAAGAAGCAGACATTGAAAAACAGTGACGTTGACGGACGTCATGAAAATAAACAACAACAGCGCTGGGTGATCATATAATGTCGTTTTTTATTTTATGAAAATTTGGCAAATAATGAATGTATCAGGCTAAAATTTTCAACATTTCTTTGTTTTTTGTTGTTTTATGTACTGTATAAATTTTGAAAGCACAGACTACATAGTACTAATTTTATAGCCTCAGTCCACGAACTTTTTGATAACCCCTGGTATATGATGTCATTCATTTGCATGTACATGTACATCTATGTTAGTGGTACATGTACATGTATTATCCTCTAATAATAAAGTCACAAAAAATTTAATTACATTGGAATCAATTTACTAGTAATTTGTGGAAGCAAATTTTGGTTGATTAATTGTTTTATAAATTCAAATTCATATAGAATATTTCATGGACAAAAAGACCATTATGAATAATTTACCTTGTACAGTATTAAAGTACCAGTACAGTGTACAGGTATTTGTTGACATAAATTAAGTTTTGAGTAAGTGATACCCAAGAAAATTGAATTTTCCTGAAATACAATGATTCAACAGAATTCAGGACTCTATAAGTTTTAAGAACCCAGTATATTGTACATCCATACTGTGAAATCACCAATTTTCCGGAAGGGGGGGGGGGGGTGGGTAATTTTCATTGTTTTCGAGGTATGGAGACACTCTCATATTCATGACCAACTCAAAATGTTAATTTTCAAATGTATTGCTAATCAACACTTCTCCAACCAAAAAATCAATTCCCAACAAACTAATATTTCTTTCTCAAACCTAGAAGATTTGACCCCACAAAAATATTTGATTTTACAGTATTTAAATGGTACATTTTTACTCAACAATGAATAAGATGCCATAATTGATAGGATTCTTTTTTTGTAATAGTGGAGTGGTGTGGACGTACCTTCTCTACTGGCTGGTGATGTATATAGTTCTGATCCTCTTCCTGATCGGGGGACCATTATATACAAATGTCTGCCGCAACTTAAATCAGGGAGTAGAGCATGTACAGGTAAGCATTGCTTAGAAATTTTGGAAAATGTTTTCAGGAACATCTAAAAATCATTTTTTATACCTGCATCCAGGTAGATTGAGAAATATCTTCTTTTGTACTACATGTATGATAATTAGTTTGTTACATTAAGGATCATTTTAATATAATTTCATTGTATTATTCATCTACAGTGTATCTTGACCTAACATGTGTCAGTGTTATACATGTATATGCACTAACTTGACTAAGTATAAGTTATATTTATTGTTTCAGGACTTTGAACCAATACTAAAAGATGTTGGGATTGATGTGAAAAAGATGTTAAATTACAGCTCCTCTTCAAATTTCTCTATTGGAAACGCTTTGAAGTAAGTTTTTTAGCAGGGAACATGAACAATGCAAAACTTTGATATTCATGTTCTCTGCAGTTTTCTTCTAAACCCTTGCAGATATTGAGCTGATTTTTGGAATGTGAATGTATCTTTATGAGATATAGATCAAATTTGTATTTCGTTCTGCTTCAGTGAGTTTTGGAGGAATTACAACCTTTTCAGTCTTTAAGGGTTTTCCACAGTTTTTTTTCTTAATAATTGCAGATATTCAGTTGAAATTATGGTATGTGACTTATCCTTGATGAGTCAAAGATCATGATTGTGTTTCTTTCCAATGATTTTTAGCTCTTTTTGAGCTTTTCTGATCAAAATTTGTCCGTCGTCTGTCGTTGTCGTTGTTGTTGTTGTTGTTGTCGTCGTCGTCGTTGTAAACTTTTCACATTTTCATCTTCTCCTCAAGAACCACTGGGCCAATTTCAACCAAACTTGGTACAAAGTATCCTTGGGTGAAGGGGATTCAAGTTTGTTCAAATGAAGGGCCAC